AATATAGTGAAGCAATTGGGACCATATGGTTATAGGAACTTTGTGGCTTAATTTCAGGAATAGATGATCCTGTATTTATTGAATGTCATTCAGAATTGCTGTATACGCACATACCTCGACATACTGTATTTATTTATTTTCTTATATCTTGACTGGTTTGAAGACTTCATATGTAAAATGATATTGTTATAGAATTATTATGCAAGTGAACAGAGACAACTTATAACTGAACCATAGACAAAACAGTAACAAAAGAAATAATGTTAACTAGGTACCCAAAGGAATTTTGAGTCGCAGTGAGAAAATTACATCAATGCCCCTGTCACTTTCTGAAGGCACCAAAATCCAGGTTCTAGTGGAAAATCAAGGACGTATCAACTATGGTTCCTTGATAAATGACTTCAAGGTGAGTTTACAGTGCTATGTTAGAAATGGTTCTGTGCCTCCACAGTGCAAGTCCTCCATGAGAAGCTGATGGTTACTTAACTGATTAAGAAATTCCATGTTTCTTATGGAACCCACAGGTTCATTACCATACACAGAAATAGGATGACTGAATTCAGCTGTCTGAGGATAGAGTGAAGTAGCATGTTTTTGCAAATACAAAATGAACTTTTAGGTTCTATTAAAAGCATTACAGTTTCTGGACTGAGGAACTATCAGCTTTTAGTAAATGACCCTGCATCATGAAGTGGGCTGAATATTTACAAACTACACTAATACTGTTTTTCAGTTGGTAAATTTAAAGAGCAATAACAATTTTTTTAGGGGCTTCTCTCCAATGCAACACTTGGAGGAGATGTGCTGGAAGACTGGATAATTACTGGCTTTCCTCTGCATGAAATTTCAAGTCTTGGTGTCAACAGTACTTACAATTATACCTTCTCATGTCCGGCGTTCTTCCGTGGAACATTTGAACTCCCAGAGTCTTATTCTGAGCCACTTGATACATTTCTAGATCCAAGAGGATGGGGAAAGGTGATGCATTTCATTCATAAAATGTTTATAATATAACTACAAATACATATAGTACAAGAGGCATATATCGTGATGTTATTTTGCTAAATATTTGATATGGATAAGAATATAATGAAATCATATAAAACAAAAACTGTCTGTCACTAAGACATATCACAGCAGGATAAACTTCTGTCTCCTGTCTGCAAAAACCAATGTCCTGTTCTTTCAGGTGTCACACCACCGTTTCCATATGGGTATCCGTTTTGGCCTTCTAGATGTCTCATCTGTTTCTAGTGCTCTAGCAACATGTGGGAGGCCACAGATTTAAAACTGGTTATGATGATAGAACTGCAGGACACTGACTTATACAGACAGGGGACAGAATTTTTTTTTTTTTTGATAATTGTTTCTAGACATCTCTTCTTCCATTGAGTATGTCATCCATTTGTTAAACATATTCTCATTCTGACCTACATATCTTCAATGTTTTCTGTTATTTGGATAATCCATAATAGTTCTCCAAGACTAAGGTTGTCTTCATAATTTTGCCATATTTTATTATTATTACATTAATAAGCAGTACATTTCATAAGAAGTAAAATAAAACCCTTAATGATGGCCTGGAATGTGTCGAGAATAAAATAAATCCTCAATATACTGTTTCATTTTGATGGCTGTTGCAAGTACACTGTGGCATCCATCGTGAAAGTTGTGTATTATTCTTGAATGTTCAAACTTGTGGAGTTAAATATTTGCTGTGGTAATTCTTTGTCTTTCATTACCAAATATTCTGTTTCTTAAAATTCAGTTTTTGTCATGACATAAAATAAACTGATTTAAAAAATATTGTGTTGTCCTCATTGTGGTTCTTCCTTGAGTGCATTCAGGATTTATACAATTATATTGAAAGAAATTAAAACACAAGAATAAATTCTGGTACATTCCTCAAAAAATAAATTTCTAGTATCATCACAAGGAAAAATACTAAGATCTCCAAAATATACATGTAGTCATGTTTTCACATTCATTTAGTAGAATTCCTTTTATGTTTATGCTATGATTTTTATGAGTCTCTTGTTTTCTCATAGGGAGTGGCTTTCATCAATGGTTTCAACATAGGACGATACTGGCCAATTCTTGGACCCCAGGTGACATTGTATGTCCCAGGTTGCCATTTAAAGCCATACCCAGCTCTCAATGAATTGGTGCTGCTGGAACTGGAGAAAGCAAACAGTCCGCATTACACCGTGAGTTTTGTACCAGAGCCAATACTGGATGAACGGCCACCTGCGTATGCTGCAGCCAGTCATACGTCACATTTCCTGGTGCCCCCACAGCTGAATCAAGGGCCACAGACAAGTGTTACCATACTTGCAGTATAATGCAGGTCTACTTACCCGTAACATTTTATTATTTTAACTCTTTCCATGCTGATTATTTTGTTTTAGAATTCTTTTATAGGTAAGTGTCCATTGCTTTGAACTGTCAAGAGATGGAAATGCTCCTTTGTACCATTATACATTGAAGCCAGTCAGAGCTAGAGGTATGTTTCACACAATCCATCTCATTCATAGCTTACAAAGGATTAAGTATGAAATAAGGAGCAATTATACATGCTCATGTAACATGTAATCATAGGTCCAAAGAGATTATCCATAAGATGGATGATTATATGTACTCATGTAAAATGCAAGCATCAGAAGCTAAAAGAAGTTCCTTCTAGGACCAGGGAAACAGAAATACTGCTTCTTTAAGTTATCTGAATATAAAGTGCATCATTGTCACAGAGATGAAAGGGGTTTAGAAACTCTTGCAAATAAGAAATACTTGGAAGAACTTAATTAAGCCAATTTGCCTTTCTTAGTTTGCAACTTCAGCAACGCCATTTTAACACTGCAGCTGTTGGAGTAAAGAGCCACTACTTATATACAGCTATCAGTAATTACTAGCAGTAATACACTAAACATATTAACTACTGGGAACAAACCCAGGCACTTCATATAACAAAATGACAATAGGATAGCTTTTTTTAGACATACTTTTTATTTTCTCCTGCCAATTATCACTCCTTCACTTGTACCACCCAAGGTATGCTATGGGATATTCTAGCTAGTATATTATACCTCATTCTTGGTGCTTCATCTCTGGTATGGCACTTGGCTGGTCTTGGAAGTGCCAATATCTTAACTCTCCAGCATTGATTTTATAATATTTATATGATTTCATACCATGTAATTTTTATTATTATATTTATATAAAAATCTTAAATGAACAGAATGCTTAAATTAATTAAGAAGTAGAATGTTGACAGAAATACTAAGATGTGACTGTAAGTATACAACTTACTAGTAATTCATTGTTTTCATAAAATACAAGGACAAGGCAGAATGATCAAAATATACAGAAGCAGACAATTATAGAAATTAACATTATTAAATTTAATAGATTTTTAATAACAAAACCCTTATGTTAGATTCACTGTTTTCCCTTAAAAGTTTGAAATAACTGCAATTTCATTATCAAGACCAAAAGCAAATTTCAGAAATCATCATCATCCGAGTCGTCATCCCTGCCACGAATCATACGCTTCTTTCCAACAGCACCTAAAACAAACTTGTTGGTTCGTTTGCCCTCAGTTGGAGGCTCCAGGAGACTCCCATTGTAATTTATACATCCGGACTTAGCTATCCGCCATTCCATCATCTCTGTTGAGAAATCGTCACAGTTTCCAAGTTCTGTGAATCCAACAATGTAGTCTTTGGCTTTGCTGTCTTCTATCAGTACAATTGTGGGGATGACCTTTATGCGAAGGCGTTCTGTAATAATAAGGAAACATCTTTCTAAGTTCCATGCCTCACTGAGTTGGATATAGCATAACATATCCATAATATTTAATTTCAAGTAATTAAAAAAAATTGTCATCCATCTGAAGTGTTTTAAGCCAATTAAGTAGTCTTCTAATACTGATTAAAACAGAGTTTGAATGATCAAGTGAGATGCTTAATTTATATATTTTATATTTAGTTTCATTCTTACATTCTTTTGCCAAAAAGTATATAAGTCACAGTTTAAACTCTGTTGTGTAAAAATGTATCATTAAATACATTTATTTGAATAATGTCGGTGATTCCAATAGCCATAAAATTGTCAAACAGAAATGCAAAGGCAGTTTTTAGTAAAGAACCACATTCATTTATCAGTCTATGGAAGGAGAATGCAGTGTAACCATCATGCCGAAGTAGGGGCAATTATATGGTGCAAAAAATCTGTTTTCCTTCTCATAAATCAGATGAGTATATGTTAAATGCAGTACATATGTCAGAAAATTCAGACATTCTTTTACTTCTAGAATACAAATCTTATTTACTCACGTGTTAGAAATGGGCATCGTTCCACGTCAATCTTGCAAAATCTGGCTTCTAGGTGAGAGATGCAGAGAATTTTTAAATGGTGGTCAACAATTTCACATCGAGGTGAACCACTTTTATAAAAATGGCAAACAACGTGTTTCGATTTCTTTGTTACTCCAAAAAATTCTTTCTCTTCAGGAATTTCAGTATATTCTCCATGTCCCTGAAAAAACAGAAATTACAATTCTCATGGTAATTGAACACAGATATACAGACTTGAGTATTACAATTTTAGGTACAAGAAAATGTCTGGAACACTTGGGATTCATGCATCCTACAGCTATATGTTATGAATTCAATAAATTTGAATCTAAAATAACTCAAATGGAGTCAAATTAAAGAAGAAAAAAAGGGTCAAACTGAGTCAAAGAATGTTTTGTCTTACTGGCCATGCTTCTGCTGACAGACTTACTATTATATAACACAGGATGTATGTATGAGAAGCTGCATAATTTTATCATGAATCTCACCAAGACTCGCCATTCCTGTTGCTGTTGTGCTTGTTTCTTCATGTCCTTCAACCTGTGTTGCCTGAGTGTGCTCAGGTCATCTGAATCCAACTTTTCTAGTCTCTCCAGTTCAGCATCCAGCTGTTGTTCCACTGTTTGTGCTGTCTTCAGCACACTCTGTTGAATTGTCTGTTCTAGTGATGCCATGCTGATGTCTAAAAATCAGTAATAATATGGTTCATGTCAAAAATGAACAGGAGTTAAAAGTATACCACGGTTTAGAAAACACGTATTTTCTAAATTTGTTCTTTGTGATTTTGCACTCATTGCCCTTGTTATTTATTGGTTGCTCATGCAAATCTCATGAACTCACTGATTAAATCTTGTCCAGGACAGCTTTATAAAATTAGTTAGTATTTCTGTACTAGTCTATTTTATTATAATGTAAAACTCATTATACACACACAAATTTTAGCGCTTGATAGGTCTCAACTGGTATCGATTTCTAAATCTTCCCCCACATGAAACGCCTCATTTAAACCCCGCTCATCAGTATACTTACTTGTTAATTGTATATAATAATTTGATTACCAGCCACAAACTTTGAAATGAATATGACTATATTATATATCACATCCGCTTGTTACATATATATACTTTATAATAACTTCCAATGCAAATTATTTGTGGTATGCTGTATGCCACAAATGAACCCGATTACGACATCAAACCTTTGAGGTACAATCCAATATCAAATAAAAACCAATGACACGGTTCCAGTGCAGTGTGGGCGATGTTCTCAAAACACCACCATACAGGGATATACAGAAACTGGCACACCCAAATTTCCTCCGAAAAATCTTTACCTACATTATAAGTGTATGTAATATTATATGGAATTCAAATATTACCTACGGTTAGCGATATTGATAATAGTTAATTCTTAGTTAATTCCTTTTATTCCTCTTGCGAACATAGAGCTGAATATTGACAACACATCTCAAAATATGTTACACATTCGTGACTTTCGAGACATCGATGTTGCAGGATTGCCAACAGCATTCTTCAATTCATTCCTAGAAAATTGTCCTTCATGAGGAGAATATTCTTACATGGAATATTTCACATAATACAGAAATTACCTTCACTGTTACTTCTTCGCTTTCAGATATTCTGCACGCTTCAGTTTAAGTGAGTAACACGTTGTGGGCTCATTTATTTCTGTCTCGTGTTTCAACCGAAAGGTCATGCTTCAATCTATCGGTGGCCTTATGAACTACAGTTTCAGCAATGTAAACGTCGGAAACGGGTAATGAATTTTCATGAAATTTGGTACGGAGATTGCCATTAGAGCTAAGTCCGCAATAGCACTTTTTTAATTTTGTACACTTTCGTAATGCGAACGTGGCGGATGCTCAAAGTCTTGCTGTGAACATGACGCCATTACCCATAATCATCTGCGCGTGCTTGATGACATCATTGCTCTTGAAGGTCCTCTGCCAGAATGGCTAGATGGCTTTTCATGAAATTTGGTATCGAATGAATGCCATTTGAGGGTCGAATTAACAATACGAAACTGTCGTATTCTCAAATTCGTGAGATAGTACTCCATTACTTATGATCTGTGCATTCGTGATGCAATGGCCCCAAATGATGTTACCGGTGTGTGCACAGAATTTGGCGTAATGAACACATTTGGAATTTGTGTGCTCCCAAGAGGATACCTTTCCAATCTTGTTAAGTTCGTATGTTGTTTACAAATAATGTTTTTTATTTCAAGTCCTAACTTGAGTACCCAATCTATTGTATTTATTGAACCCCCGTGGTTAAGCGATGTAAGCCGTTGCTTTAAAGGTTTAACAAAATATAAACTTCTATAGAGAATCAAAGAGCGTACGTCACAGCATCAGCTCAAAACATGCATTTCGTCTACAACTTTTTCTTGTTTATGACTATGCATCCAGCATGATGCCCTCAATTCTGACGCTGATGGAGAATCATGTGACAGTCGAATTGCAGAACAGTGAATATGAGCTACAGGTAAATGGTAAATAGTTTTAGCTCAGGTTATGTGTGTGTAAGCAGAGGCAGCGTCAAACTTGCTGTGACGTCACGTCACCCATGCTTCTATTATAATGAGACCATTGTTCTCATTGATCAGATTATTTATTCGGAGCTGGGTACCAGCGCCTGATGATGTGTGCTCATGCAATACAGGAATGACAGAGAAGTTGCCGCGGAAGGACGGCGATGTTGCTTCAACCGATAAGGGCTCTGGTACGATGCCTTTACAGTCTGCTATTGACCGGTCTTGAACCGGCTTTAAACATAATGGTCTAATACATCAAAAGAACACACTTCACAGTCTTACAGAAGTGATCATCAAATGTATGTTCCTCTTTTTTTTAATGTTTCTTAGTTTCAATAGTTCTGTGAAAGAGCCTTCAACTAAAAACATGGGAGAAACTTTTCAAGAAAGTCCCAATATTGTTAAGTAAAAGAGGGCATTTGAGAAGAGGAAATCTGAGGAAGGGTGAGAGAAAAGGATGAAGGACAGTTTAAATTTTGTTTTCAGAATGGGGCGCTCCAGTCATGTCTGGTGTTAAGGGGATGAAAAGGGAGGCAAAGACTGCCATTTCTTCCTCAGGTTCTGTCAATGTTTTAACTGTTTTCGCTTGAGGGTTCTGTTATGTGTGCCTGTTTATATTATACTTGTTCAAAATATTTTTTAAAATACATATAATGTATTTGTTTTACTTTCCTACAGGTTTTGTAGTAATATAGGGCTACACAATAAAAATATTAATGTTAAAATTTTCTAAATCTGAAAAAACCAATGTATACAAATGACGCGGAAATAATATCAATAAAGTGATACAAATTCGAGATGTGTGCTAATATTAGAGCAAATATGGTAGGCCTGTCTGACCTTCTGGACATAAAATACTGCCAATGACAAAAAAACAAACCACTTTCACCTTTAGGAGTGGTTTTACTGAACGTGAAGAGAAACTTCAACGATTTATGACATGGACATTGATTAATATAAGAATTATGGGTTAAATGCTGAAAATTTTACAGTGAAGTATTCCTTTGTTCCGTATTAACATTAAGAACATACTTGAAATATTTTAAATACATTTTAATCGACACACACACTCACGTACTTTCTATTACTCAGAGAGAATAGCTGTGATGTCTGCATTGTGAATTAACATTTTGCGGGGGGGGGGGGGGG